AATTGAGTTTTGTGGGACAGGATTGACAGAATTGAGTTTTGTGTTCACAAAATTGAGTTTTGTGGAACAGGATTGACAGAATTGAGTTTTGTGTTCACAAAATTGACTTTATAGGTACAAAAATTCCTGTCCTGCGTGGCGCCCCGTATGCGCTGATTGGCTGTGGAAAGATTGGGGTCCGGAACTGAAGTGGGAAAAATAATTCAGGCGCGTGCTGCGAGCTGGCCAGGTGCACAGCCTAGCTGCGTGGCTTCGAAGCCAGTCGACGGGAACGGGCTAACCGTGACAATGCGTCCCCCCTTAATTAAGCGGGGACGCCAGACACCGCTTACAACACATAGGAACCAGTTAGCCAGTTCCTGTTCTTATGCGTTCGTCTCTTTCTCGCCCGGTGCGTGTCGGCTCAAGAAGTCGGCCCCAACGTTTTCTGCCCCGGGTATCGCCTGTATCCGGAACCTGTACGGTTGCAGTGCAAGCGACCAACGCATCAGCCTGGGGTTGGTCAACTTGGCCACCCCCAAGTACGAGAGAGGGTGGTGGTCAGTTTGCAGGGTAAACTCTCGCCCATAGATCGAGGTAGGTTTGGAACTTACTCCCAGCCCACACAACGGCTAGACATTCACGCTCTACCGCCGCGTATCTCGCCTCGGCTGTGGTTAACTTTTTGCTGGCGTACTCCACGGGGTGCAACACCCCTGCGTGGTCTTGCAGCAAAACCGCCCCCACACCCACATCCGACGCATCCGTACGTACCACGAACTCCTTGTCTATAGGTGGGAGACATCCGTGATATTGGTAGATAAATACTGTGTCTGTGCTCATCAACTATATGATCTTTTGCTGATTACTGTCAAGGTTGGGCTCATCAATACTCAACAAGTACTGATGGAACGCGGACCGAATGTTCTAAGAGTTCTAATTTTGTTGCTAGCAACAATGTTCTTGGTATACAAAATGGATTTATAGACAATAATCAATATTAATATTGATAAGTGACGGGCAGTAGACGAATGACTGAAGCAGATAAAGAATAAATTGCATCCATTAATATGTGTTATGACGTGTCGTATTTGATAATAAAGCATTGTAGGGCCTAACCGTTATTAAAGCATTGCAACTGCGACCCTGCTTATGCAACCTGGGGCTCGTTGTCAGAAACAAATTAGTCTTAACATTAGTCTTAACATTAACTTTGACTCGTAAACCGTTGACGGAAACATCGTAAAGTTACGAGAATGAAAAATCCTAGAAAATTTCCAAGATCCCAAACCCTCTCGTAACTTTAATATTAGGATGAAAATAACGCATTTGCACAAGGAATTACCCGAAGAGTGGTATAACGCAATATATGTTAACGTGCCAGTTCAATTGGCACTATATCAGAAAATCTTCAGGACCTCATGTAGTACGCGTG